ACACACAAAATTATTGCTTTATCAAACTTGGTAAGCATCATTCAGGCAGCACATTCAAATGGTCACCTAAGCTTTAGCCTCTTAAAACAGGAAGTGACTTGTTTCACTGGTGGAAGTCCTCTTTTACTATCTGAGTCATAAGTTCCATGTTGTGTCTGATGACATAGAAAAAGGTGATGATGAATTGTTTCAGTACTTTAAAGCTTATATACAGTTGGCTCTAAATCACTGATGCATTACAGCACCTGCTCTGTATTAATTACACATTATAATGGTCAACCTAAAACTGGTTCATTGGATTACATATAAGTGCATTCAATGGAATATTTCACACAGCTACAACTCCAAGACAAATATCTTAAATACTCATCAAATGTTGTGTGCTGCCCCACAGTACAGTTCAAAACATTTGTATTATAATATGGTGGCATCGTTTTAGCCCCGACCAATGAGTAGATCCGATGTTTCTCTGATGAATAACCTTCATTGGCTGAACTGTACCTGTACTCAGAAGCTGGAATTCCACTGGAATTTCAAGTTTAAATTATCAGTTTAAAATTTGGGAAACATAACTCCAGAATTCAAGAGAGCTGCTACTTGCATCAACAGTATTTGAACATTTTTATAGTTTATTATAGTCAATGTAACATTTAGTCAGTAATACTACTTTTCAGTGTTTGTATATCAAGGTGTTTCAGTACTGTGTATGTGGGAAAAAACATTGTTGCTGCTGCAACAGAAGCCGTTTTAACCAAATACCAACAATGAATAATGGTGTGTTCCATTTGTTTTTGGAAGTTGAAAATTTCAGACTCCCAATCACAAATTTTAACCTGAACACCTCAAAAATAAAAAAATTATGAGTCAGAAAGCTGATGAAAAAGGATGTTATCCGACTTCCGTGTTTAAAATGGACAAAACTGACATCAACAGTGGTTACATTTTCTTACTTTGACCATTTGAGGCAGTTCTTTATATGCAGCATTAAGTCAGACTTAAGGGGTTATTTTAAGTGTTTATAGGACAATGTTTCAATGCTGTGTATATGCACACAACACAGCATAGACCTGTGTTCTTAATCATGATCATGGTCATGGTTGTAACCGTGACCTGTTGGGCCTAGAGAATACAGTGGTTGAAAACTGGAACACCTGCCATATAGGTGTTCGAGATCTACCTGTTTTTCAGTGTAGTCCTGTTTCTCTGACTGTGACTGGCTGGATGTGCTCTCTTCATCGTCCGACATGGGAGTTGGCTCAGAGCTCGTCTGCCTGGCTGTGTGTTTCCTGGATGGGGCAACCTTTTACAGTTGCTTTTTTGTATCTCTGCCTCTGTCTCCTTGAACCCCAGTCGGACTCGGCAGATGGCCGCTCACACTGAGCCTGGTTCTGCTTGAGGTTTCTTCCTGTTAAAAGAGAGTTTTTCCTCTCCACTGTCACTACAAACATGCTTAGTGTGAGGGATTGCCTTCGAGTCAATGAGTCGATGCAATCAACTGGTTTTCCTTAGATAGAAAACTTTGAATTAATTTAACTGTATGATCTGGAGAACTGTAAATGGTCTTGAGATGACATGTGTTGTGAATTGGCGCTATAGAAATAAACTGAATAGAAAATTAACTGAATTGAATTCAACACATTTAACTAGACATTGAAAACGTATCTATGTTTTAGAATGAAAGGGATAAAGTAGACCTAAATCATCTTAAGAATCAGTGTCAGGACTTATAAATTGTTGTTTACAGATGGTTTTCCATTCAATCTGACAGAGTTTTAGGTAATTTGCAGAACGGTAAAAGCAGAGATGTCTGTCTCTAGATGTACAAAGGTGGTACAGACATACCCTAAATGACTTGCAGCTGTGAATGGAAGAAAAGACGTCTCACTGAATGCTAAGCACTTGTGGATGGCACACTTTAAAATTTCCACTCAAAACTAATTTTACAAAGATTTTCTTTCCCTTTTAAATATGTACAACTTTCTTCAATCAATTAGCTTAAAGATTGTGTTTGTTTGAAAATGCAAAATCGTTCAAAAAGAGTCTGTAGTTCATAGACGTAATTTTGTATAGCAAATTATATTATTTAACCTGGCTTTTATTCAATGGAAATGATGATTTGAAAAGTAAAAGAAAAAACTCACTGAATATCAGATAAAACATCTGATCCTGTTTCACATTGCAAACATAGAGGATTCACTTCAGGTGGTCCTGTAGGTGCAACGTCTCTAATAAAGGTTCTCCAGCGGACACAGTTTCTGTTAAAAAGGTTTTCATATATAGTGTGCGTGAGTTCAGCATGTGCCTTTCAATTTTATTTTATTTTTTTTGTGGAACACTTGGACATCAGACAAGTACTTTATTGTGACCTATCAGTATAAGATCAAACTGAAGGTCACTTAACCATGACCCAGACACAGGTAGTAACAAGCTTGGGCTACTTTTCATTTAACAAAATTAAATAGCAGAATAATAGAAATACAATATAATAGATGGGTAGAGATAGTCACTGTCTTTTTCTTCTTAGCTGCTACTGTTTTTGTCTTAAGTCAATACAATAGCAGCAACAAAAAATGAACATGAAAAGGCTAAATTTAGAAACTTTAAAGACTGAAGCTACAGTCAGGTGAAAACATCTCTATAAATAAAACACTTTGTATCCCAGAGTTAAAACAGACTGCCTATTTAATGTCTGCACCTGATTAATCCTGACGTTACAAAAGCAGGCCTTGCTCTTTGGATCCGTATGTTAACGGCCCTTTATAGTTGAGCTTTTAAATGCTGTTTGCTCTGGCCACATGTGGCAAACTAATGTTTACACAGATAATTTGTCGTCTGGTCATTGGTTTGGGACTCTGGTGTTATCCAATGAGCAAAATGACCAAACCTAAGCCTTAGAGGTCACTGTGACTGCAAGACTTGGGTCATCAGTATTGACAAATCCATCAGGGACATATATTTAGCCCCTATGAGACAGTGTCACAAGTTTTTAAGTCTTGTATTAAGCATTTTACCACAATAGAGCTGGAGTTAGAAAGCATTAGGCTTCAATTATGACCAAAAAATCATGAAATTACGACTGTGATATTTTACGACACTGGCATTCTAAAATGAATTTAGACTAGTTATGATGTTAGATATTGTAGAAAAAAAACATTTGTGTATAGCCTGTGTATGAGCTGCTCATAAATGAGGATATGCAGAGTGCAGTTTGCTCATTATTCCCAAGAGATCCTTGGCATTTCCTTAAAGTTTACCTAACACACCACACTGTCCCATACCGGGATTCACGGTGGTCAATGGATTTAACACACGCATCTACACAGCTGTGTTTAAAGGACCCATATGGTCAAACTTAGTGGGATCAGGATGCATTGGTTAAACAGATACTGCCCCCTGGTGGAGCTTTTAACAACACTTTTTCTGCTGAATATTTGTGCATCCAATTATCTTTGCTGTTGGAATCAGAAACTCAATCTCTGTAGCTCATAAATTCATACTATAGTATGTTATCAGTGTTTTTTCTTTTCTTTTAATTTTAGAAAAAAATGTTTTTGTTTTTTTTCAAAAGTTAAAAGAAAAAAAAATCTTATACCAACAACAGATATATAGAGTCTTGGGGAAAAATATTTTATCACCCTTGTCATGTTAATTTTATTCTTTAGGTAGTATACCTAGAAAATAAAGCACAGTCTAATATTTTATTTCCATGACTGTTTACATCTCAAAGGAATAAAGGGAACATGTAGACCAGTGTTTTTCATAGTCCTGGTTCTCAAGTACCTCTGCCCTGCAAGTTTTAAGTGTTTTCTCACTGCTTACATCTGAGTCTTATAAAAACATCATTAACAAGCTTTTGCAGCACTTGATGGCAACTGAGTAGCTTGTGCAATCATCTGAATCAAGTGTGCACAGATAGACTTTTAAAACATGCTGGGCAGTGGTATTGAGTAGTAGGTTGGAGAACTGTCTTAGATAACACAATGCAACTCCAAGTCAATCCCGTTTTTGAAATCAAACTATCCAGTTAAGATTATGGATTAATTATATCTGCTGTTGTGCAAAACGAACAGACAACAGTTGTAAATGAGAAGCAATTAGCAAGGCAACCCCATAAAAAAGGCTGTATGACTAAGAATAATTCCTGAAAGTGGTTCAGCAGTCTTATACACTAGGCTATGTCAATGGAAAGTTGAGTGGAAGAAAAAAAAAAACCCTGAAAAAACTCTTGAAACCTGATTAAGGCCACTGTGCACCAGAGGCCTGTACAACAAATTTTAATTATAAAGCCCCGTACCGATTACTTCCAGTCTATCCAGTTTAACCAATGCATAACAATAGCAATCAGGGTCAGCAGTACCATGAAGATGGTTATCAACTTGCAACTCAAAGAATGAATCCAGCTTTGTGGTACCAGCAAGTCAGGGTTAAACCTGTAGTTGGCCCACTAATCCAGTAATCCTGCTTCGTGACACAGGTCTGTGGTTCATAGCAAGAATAAAAAAAAAAAAAAATGTTGTTCATATATATTTTATAGGGTTACTATGGAAAAAGGAGACAATTATTGATGCAGGCCAGCAAAAAGGCAAAAATCTGCCATCAAACAAGCTGGGATGTGCACCAGGATGAGCACCTTTATGCTATGATTCTGCCAATTTAGGCAAAAGGAGCTGCATCCAAAAACTGAGTAAAAATGCTACACATTATGTAAATATGCTTTTCAGATGGTCATTATTTCTTTTTTGCAAACCCATAATTAATCTCATGGAAATAAGATTTAAATTATTTCATTTGACGCAAGCCGAAATCAGCAAAGCTAAGATAAATAAAAATATACCACTGCATGCCATCTATGTTTCACCTATTGAATAAAAAAAAACCCAACAACCTTAAAATGTCTTATTCTAATTGATTAAAATGCATTAATAAATTTCCCATGGGTCATGAAAAGATAGGAAAAACTCCACAATAAATCGAAACGATGACAAAAATACATATTTATGAAAGTAGAATTTATTCAATGCCATTACAAATCCATAAAATGCTGTTTCTGTAAGAAAGGGTAGTATGAAAAAGATTGTGAACAGTTTTAATCTTTAGAAATACATTCCATTTTTTAACAAAAAAAAATATGATTCATTGTAACACTCCAACAAGCTAGAGCATGATTGTGAAGAGCCTTTTTCTATCTTTTAGGTGCATATTTTTTTAATTTAAAGTAAACAGTTTTTTTTTTTTACCTGATTTATTTTGTGAGTCTAATAATAACAACCGGGATGAGTAAAGTAACACATTACATTGTCCAAAATACAGAATAAACAGACCAAAGATGTTCAAGATGAATAATAGTGGGGGAGCATGGTGATGTTAATGTCCTCTGATTGCCTATTAATGTTTGTTTATGTAATTTGCTTTAGAATCACTTTCAATATCTTATTTATACAATTAAGTTGAATTTGAGCCATGTTCTCTATTAAACAAGGACCAGGTGTGGAAATATTTTTTAACATACAAAAAACATTTTAATTTCTTTTTTTATAAATTCAGTCATGATTTTTTTTTTTTATATATATGTAATGCAGGATGCAGACACTTTTTTCCACTTATAGAAGAGTTGCATTAGAAAAAAAAAATCTAAACAAAAATCCCCAAAGTACATGAATGATGAAAAACAAACAGTGTAACCTTGTTTTTAAAGTTATCTAAAAGCATAAATGAAGAGGAAGGCTTGGGTCAGAATAATGGCAAAAATGTGTTTAAGGAAAAAAAGGACCAAAAAAGCTAAACAAAAACTAAGTGCATAAAATTAAGAGATGGAAAAATGTCACATTTATTAATGCTGCATATTTATGGAAGGCCTTAATGATGGCAACCTTAATTTTAGGAGACATTCACACTGAGCTAGAGCTCTACATTAAATACAGTAAGACAGGTGGACAAAAGAGCAGGGGACAGGGACTCTGTAAACATGAGGACATTGTGCTTAGTAGATACAGCGTATCTTACAGGGATTTTAAGTTGCATCAGACCCAGGGTAGAGCAGAGACGTGCTTGGCATCATTTCGATGAAACATCCTGGGAATGTTGGGTTTCCATTTGCAAGGATTGGTCACTTAGTGGTGCTGGGACATTAATACTTTAACGCGTCAGTTGCCCTTGAGGATGTCAACGCATCCTTGCAAAAGAGCCACATTGTTCTGTGGAAATAAAAGCAAACACACGGTTAATCTGGAGTAATGATTTTTATTCAGTTTCTAAATTATGACTCTACACAGCAGTAAAATATAACCCAAATGTATTGGGAAAACAATCCTGTACAAACCTTAACATTTGCAGTAATATGCTTAAAAAAAAAAAAACTCACAGATTTGCTGGGTCAACATATTCAGGCAGCTTTAGACTTTCTTAACATTGTATCAATTTCTCACCACCAACTTAAATGTAGATTATTAAACACAAAGTAGTAAGAGACGGATTACACCGTTTTAAGGACATGATGCATGGCCTGATTATATATATATTCAAAAAAAAAAAATTTTTTTAATGGTAAGGTAATAAAATCTTTTCCCATCTCTCTTTGCAAAATACTCAAACCCCATCAGTCCTGCTACATCTCACTAAGATTTGCAGACCTGGAATGGGCCTTTTCCAGCACAAAAAAATGCTCAATCTAACAATTCCACAGTAGAACTAACTGGCTGTATAGAGTTGTGTTTCTGCCAGAGTTCCATGTTCAAGCTATGCAAACGCAATTTTAATTTAGGCTCATGCTACCGCTGTAAATGTTTAACTGTTTTTATGGCATCCCCCAATTTGCCAGGGGTGTCAATGACTGTTTATAGTGCTATATTCTGAAGCATGATGTTATGACTACAAAAAGCGAGTCAAAGGGAAAGAAAAAGAGGATACTGCCTACCTTAGCATGTTTTATCTCAAGCTCAGCCATTTCTATGAGATTTTTCTTGAAGGCAACAACTCGTCTGCCCTTGAAGCTGGTGAGTTCTGCAATGGTTGTACAGAAGAAAGTCAAATGTTTTATGATTACGGTAAAGAAAAAAAGCACAGAATGAGTCTGTGTGTGTAACAAAACAATAGACAAACCTTTTTTAGCAGATTCTGAGAGCTTGTCAAATTTCTGTAGGCACTGCCGCTGGTGTTCCTCTGCTTGGGCAACATCCTTGCCCTTAAGTCTGGCTTTATCCAAGGCCTTGTTAGAGTTCTCGTAATCAACTAATGCTCTGGCTCGTCTGTACAGAAGGTCCTGAAATATTTTAAACATAGTTTAGCATGATGGAAAGGATAATGATGCATGTCTGTAGTAGTTTTTCATGTCTTCCCCATTTTTCCCCACAAAAGCTCAGTGAAACTCTTTGTAGTATGAGGGAATACCATGACAAAATTTACAGTGGTTTAATGGATATATCTGCAAGGCAATGAAATCTCAGTTGACATATGTAAAGTAAATCATTTTCTATGAGGTTGGCAAATATCTTACCTTAGCTGCCTGGATGTCCCTCATATAGTATCTCAGCAGCTCTGTGAGTTTCAGCTCCTGATCAGATGCTACCCTTCCCTCCACTTTCTACAGACACATATAAGCAAACATTCAGGTGCCATAAATGTGTAGTTTCATACAATTACAGCATTCAGAAGAGTCTCAGATTGTTGTTCGACATTGTCAGACTTACTCTGAGCTTCTCAAACAAGTCTGACAGCTTCTCCAGGTTCCTGAAGTGAAGAGATAAGAATCTGAGCAATAGCAATACAAATCTATTATTATTAGGCATACTGTATGTGTTTTAACCTCACTTCTTATTTGGTGTACTGTCCTCAGCGCAGATGCTGTTCAAAGTGGCAGAAATGTGAATGTAATCATCTGCGATATCTGCAACATGGATATTACAGTTAGAATTGAGCAAGAATAACATCTCAAATGTAGATTAAATGTTAATATGTTGAAATACTTTTGTGTGAACGTGTCATTTTCTCAGCTTTGGCAGTGGAATCTTTTATTTTGCTGTAGTAGTCAAGCAAAAATGTTTTCTCCTGCTCAAAAAAGTCATCCACTTCCTGTTCAGGAAACAAAAACATAAAATGTTAAATGAGGAAGTTACTATAACACCACAACTGTTACGCTGTGATCAACATTATGAGCAGATGATCGTGAACCAAGCTCCACCTTAATTCCTGAGATGAGGACCTCGTCGGCAGACTTCACCATGTTTTTGAAGAATCCTCCAAACATTTCCTTGGCATTTTTTCTCCTCACGCTGAGCTAAAATAAGAGAATCCAGAAAGGACTAAAAAGGAGTCTATATTTGATAAACATGTGATAAAATCTTGGAACAATAAATTCAGATAATGCTCTGGTGTGTAGGAGAGAGTCATCTTGACACAGATATATTTCCCAGTAGCATATGTTCTATTATCTTACGGCTCTCTTCATTTCAGTATATAAAGTGGCCGAGTTCTGCTAGCAAATAGAGATAAGTCTAACTGCTGATCACAGCAGGATGCATGTGTCACAAGCCTCTACTAAACTCATCTTCCTTTCTTCCCAACTGACAGCTCGGAAAAGGAAGTCAGCATTATGAGAAACTCACATCCTGGTCATACTGCAAGAAAATCTGGAAGTTTCTGTCCTTGCTTAAAACGGGGTGCGAAGACAATCTCTGCAAGAAGACTTCGTGCACTTGAACGGTTTTCTTAAATACAGCCAGATATTCACTGGAAAATAAATAGCAAAAATATGTGTTCATGCCTTTTGGCTACATGTCATTAAAAGAATTGATATTTTTTAATCTTCTGTTGAATGGTAAACTCACGCCTCCAGCTCTTGCTTCATTTTAGTGTACTCCTCTTTAGTCATTGTGGCTTCGCCTTCCCCCAGTTTGTGCATCTTCTCCCTTGGGCTCTCAAAATCTGGCTTCGGGGGAGCTGGAGGGATCTAGAAACAATTGAGAAATAAGAGCATAAAAAGGTTTAAAGTGGATTTAAAAAATAACCCTAAATCTTTCAGAATTTTCATGCAAAAGATTTGCATATTTTGTAGTACATGCAGGAAAACATTATGGAGTAGCTTTTATCTCTGTCAGTCAAACTCACGATTAGACCAGCATAGTCCTCGGTTTCAACCAGAGTGTCATGCAGCCAGATAAAATCTTCATGCTGCCGGGGAACAGAGGATTCTGGTTTCTGGAAGGAGCTCAAGGTCGTCTGGGAAAATAAACAATGTTCTGCGTTAGAAAATAATGTCAAAAGGGGACATTTATGGAAATCAGATTTTTTTTTTTTAATTGGCATTTCCTTTTTTTTACCTTTGTATGGACTGTGAACTTGACTTTATCCCTTTCACACAGAGCATCAGGAATATCAATGACAAGCGAGGCATCATTGTTCAAGTCCACAGACACAGAGCGCAGCTGATGAAAAATGAACATAACTTAGTAGTCTGAGACGCATTTACATCCAAAGCATACAATTGTGTCTAATATTAACAGGTTAATTTCTGTTAGTTTTGATTATTATTGCTTACAACAGATACCCGCAATTCAGTTTGGAGGAAAATGAAGAACCAATAGAAATATATTTTCATAGAGAAATATCCAACTGCTGAAAAGTAAGTATGTAATAAGTAGGTAAGATTTGGTTGCAGAATTTTGTGCGCCATGAAGAGTATCAGGGAGACGATTAGCATCTGCCTCTGCTGTGGTGTTAAGGAACTCCAAGCTGCTTTAATGGCACCCCTAGCTTGTCTTCATTAATGGGTCTGGTGGGCGGGAGATCTTCCCACTAAACATGAAAAAACTGAAGTTCTGTGCCACTAGGGCCTTTGTTTCCAAATGGAATCCTAAATTTACTTTCCTTTTAAGTGGAGGACTTTGGACAACAAATAAACAGCCCAGTTCTTTTAATCATTAGGTATAATGTTTTTACTTTTTTATTTTATTTATTCGTTTATTTCATGTGTTGCTTCAAATATTTAATGTCACACTTCAAGAACAGGCGTTTCAAACTCTCCTTAGGGCTACGTTATCCCCACTGAGTCTTTCAGTACTGTTTTTCTTCCACTCAACCCTTTATTAAACGCTCTGAACAGTCAGCTACGTTGGCCATGACCTTTTGTGTCTTACCATCATTGCAGAGAGCCAACAAATGTCTGGTGCACAACTATCAAGTTTTCCTAAAACTTACATAGAGAATTACATTTCTGAATTACAAAGTTGCCTTCAGACTGGACTAGTTCTACATCTCTAAGAAACTCAAATTTGACTTTTCATGAAAACTTAATTCAAGCCTTCTCACTTTCACTTTTAAATTCAATCTCTGTTCGATATTTGCTTTTATTGAGATGCATTTGTAAATTTCAAATATGAAAGTATCAGGATTTTTTAGTAGAGCATTATTTAGTTAATGCATCCCTCCAAATCCTCAGTCAGCTGTGTTTAAAAGCCAAACAATAGACAAAATGCTCAGTGGATTACTGTTTACAGAGACTAGTGTTGCAAACCTAAAGCCTTTTCCCACCGTCCCATTCCACTCTTGCTTTAGAAGTTAAATCCCAAAACAGAATATAAACCAGAGAACAACAACCTACTGGTTCAAAAGACTCTGAGTCTTCAGACCCACTAAATAATCTATCACACCATGTATAGTATATGAGCATAAGCAAACTAAACAAGGCTACAGCGGCAATAAAAGCAACAATAATAGCAGCTTACATCTATTGTATGGTAGGATTAAAGTTTCTAATCTCATTTAGAGTAAGACATGTTATAGTTTAATTTCTGAAGAGGATTTCCAGACCCTTCACTAGTCCAGCTACGACCATAAGAGTTGAATTAAAGTGTAACATTTATAATACTTCATCCTTGTAGTATGCAGGAAGAGCCTGGAGGAGCTTAGAAGCTAGGCCCCACACCCATTTTGTGCAAACACTGCTGAAATCAAGTCAACTCCTTAATCATTAGAAAACCTTACACAAATGATTAACATTAAGTGTTTGATTTAACTTTTTTCCCCCCAAAAGAATATAAAATAACTTCTCCTGTAGCTTACTCTTACCATTTATTTCTGAGGAAAACTGTTAAACCTTTCCGATAAAACTCAAGTTAGAAGATATGCAACAGATTAATGAAGAAAGAGATTAGCCTACAGTATGGCCTGTCCTACACAGATTACTTTTTTTGAATTAATAGTTAAAAAAATATATACTGTTTGCTTCTCGCTACTTTACCGCTAATCGGTGACAACAAGAAAAAAAGAAGAGGTAACTTTTCAACTCCAACACCTTAATTCAGCGAGAACTCAAATGCAAACGATCATTAAAACTTATAGACATCACTTTTTTTAAATGTAACTCATTGATCAGGCTATCGATATACCGTTGAGCAATTTTAGCCAAAGGCTAACAGAAACCAGTCAACAACTTTGCTAAAAAGAAGCGTAACACAGTCTCAAATTACACAGCAATACGGAGTTACTGTACCTTTTCCTTGTTACTGTCATCTATGGACGTCATGATAGCAAGCTAATTAACAAAACAAAAAAACCCCCAGGAAAATAGAAGGTCAAACTAAATCAAACTAGATGCAGGAAGCCGTCTTTTCGGTGGCTGTTAGCTATCTAACAGGCTGTCAAACTGTTGCTCCGCCCCAATCCCGATGATGAAGTTTAAACCCCACCTTACTTCGATGTGATTGGTCAGAAATTGTTTCACTAACGACGCTATTGGATGAATTTTAATCAATCAAATCCATGGTCAATACAACGTTTTTTTTAATCCACCTAAAAATTTGAAAACTTTCTTAAACCAGTAACGATAATGACCTAGAAAAATGCATAAAGCATAATTTCTCAGGAAGCGTGTAAACATTACACCTGTAGACACCGACATAGTTTTTGTAAGTGTTCTTTTTTATGATAAAACACTTGCAAAAGATTTACATTGAAATAAATCACAAATAACTAAATAATTAAAAGATTAATCTGATGGATACTGCATAAAAAAACAACCAAATAACTATACACACATTTAAAAATCACATTTAAAACTTGTTTGTGAAAGCTATACTGCCAACATTTCCATTCTACAGTTCAATTACCTTATGGGTGAATCAAAGTATATATTTTCGAGCTACAAAATAAATACATTTTAATTACATATATCAGAATTGGTGCTTTAATGGATTTTAGAATTTCTCCAAATTATCATTAGTTTATCTAAATTATCATAGTTATTGGAACTTGCATAAAATGTCATATTAAATATTAATCAAGAATATTTAATCATAAATATCAATGTTTATTTTTGTAAAAAGTTCTGCTCTCTTTTATCAAAAGTGCCCGTGTTTCATATATTAAATTATATAAAATTATTATATTTATGTTTTTGCTGTAAATATAACTCAACCATTTTAAATTGTCAAAGGGTTCACAATTTATGTTTTGAAACTTTGTTTAACTTTCTTGTTTGAGTTACCCTTGTGAAACACTTAAAGACAC